TTTGGCAATATTGGTCTTTAAAAAAAAAAAACACAAAACCTAAGCAGAGTATGTTTCTGGGTAAATTTAAATGCGACTGTCAGGAAATCAATTTGTAATATGTGGTGAGTTGTGTTCTGAGTTAGAAAACCAGAGTCAGAACAAAGGCATTTCTGGCTAAGCGCTTGGAGACTAACGTTTCTGGATTTGTTTAAAAAAGAAAAGAAAAGAAGAGAAAGCAATATAATGGTTCCTAGGTGTTAACATTCAAATGGTGATTTCTAGAGACTTTTAGAGCTAAAACACAATGGGAAAGAAGGTATAGGCTTGCAGTTCTAAAATCAAAAGAGCTTGGGGAAACTAATTGTTTTCTGAAATTGGCAAAAACTCTGGACAGAAATACAGAAATTTCAATATTCATATATTTTACAGTAGAGATATTAATGTATTTGATTAAGGAGTGCTGCCTTATTAACTTTCTAACAGTGGAAAAATTCTGAATTCCAGTAAAGGATTTTGGACCTGAATTAACAGCTCAACATGAAATTGAATTGAAACAAATATTAAAATTGGTTAGTTTTATTTCTGTGAAGTTTTAGTGGCAAAAGATAAGCAGCAATGAAGAAAAAATAATTTTTTTATTATTTATTTTTTGCGGTACTCGGGCCTCTCACTGCTGCGGCCTCTCCCGTTGCGGAGCACAGGCTCCGGACGCACGCGTAGGCTCAGCGGCCGTGGCTCACGGGCCCAGCTGCTCCGCGGCATGTGGGATCCTCCCGGACCGGGCCATGAACCTGTGTCCCCTGCATCGGCAGGCGGACTCTCAACCACTGTGCCACCAGGGAAGCCCTGAAAAAATAATTTTTTTAACACATTCTGTTATCGATTCCAAGGTTAAAGTAGGAGTAGGTATGTCATAGTGTTTAGGTTTGAGAATACAGTTTCTGTTTTGCTTTTGTCCATACAGAATTACTAAAGTTGTGACCCCTGAGATTTCTGTAGTTGCTAGGTCGGGTCATTCAGGATGTTCTTTCTGCTTTTTGGGACATTTTACATGCTTGGTGCTACATTTGACAGCTTCAAACTCTAATTTATTCCTGTCTCATCTTTCTTAATAACATGCATTAATCTTACCAGTATAGTTTCATACTTGAGTTTGAGGATGGGCTCTGTCTTTGGTGCCATTTAGGTAAGTAGAAATTAACTGAGGATGCTTTACTGTTATCCACTGAAAGCTCCATTCTGGAATTTGCTTCTCTTACTTATCTACAGTCTCTGGTAGTAGCTCTAGCCCTTATCTTTTACGGAGCTTTTCCGAGTGTAGGAAAGGGTTAATTTTTTTTTTTTTTAATTTAAATTTTTGGCTGCGCTGGGTCTTCGTTGTGGCACACAGGCTCTTCATTGCAGCGTGTGGGCTTCTCTATTGCGGCACATGGGCTTCTCTAGTTGTGGTGTGTGGGCTCCAGAGTGCCCAGGCTCACTAGTTGTGGTGCGCCAGCTTAGTTGCCCTGTGGCACGTGGGGTCTTTGTTTCCCGACCAGGGATCGAACCCGTGTCCCCTGCATTGGAAGGTGGATTCTTAACCACTGGACCACCAGGGAAGTCCCTCACTACTTGTTTTCACTATTTGTTTTCTAATTTGTCAAAATCTACCTTTTGAGGAGGTACTGACTATATGTCAAACCCAGGGTCAGATATGATTGCCATAGATTAAGAAGTTTCATCCTGGTGGGAGTTCATCATCTTTGAAATGTAGGTAAACATCTGTGCTCAAAAAATTATCGGTCTCCTCTTTCCTTCATGGTGTAAGTAGGAAATGTTCAGATCATTATGTAATCTCCTCATAGATCCTTGGATTTCTCTGATGAATACCTGCCTAATTGACATTTAGTGGAGAGTATGTAGTGAGTACTATAATAAATCAGAGTCTACTGTGTTTTACTACTCTTATTTAACCCTCAAATTTTGTTTGTTTCTGAAGTTTGTCTTTTAATCTTTTATTAGAAAGAAGGTGGGGAATTAGAATTTTTTTGCATTTATAGTTCTATTTTGGGTTGGCCATAAAGTTCGTTTGGGTTTTTTCCATAACATGTTATGGAAAAACGCAAACAAACTTTATGGCCAACCCAATACTTGAGTCTTATTAATTCGGTTCTTACATAGCAGCTGTCTAATCTTGCGATTATGCTTGTATTTCCTAATGACATAATATAAATCATAGCAGTTTGAAGTACAGAAGTGTCAAGTGGGTGTGCTACTGTATTTCAGTCATGAGATTTAAAAAATAAAAACAGTGTGGTCTGGAGCACTGCACATGCATATTACGCTGCTCATTGTTTGAATTAGAATTTTAAGTGGTATTATGAGACTCTGTTTGCTTGTTATGTTGAGCTGAAAGGGAGGTAAGCATCCAGTGATTTATGCTGGAGATACAGAGCTTGGTGAGAGCTGGTAATCTTAATGACAGGCAGAATTAGGAAGTATGTAGTGTAAGAGCTTTACATATGTGCCATTTCTTTGAAATTCACCTGTTTCTGGAGAAAATGCCTAGCAGTGCTTATCTCATACTGATTTATCTAGGCTTTTTTAGTGGAAGGAGGGGGTGCTACACAGCCTAGTTGCAAATTACTAAAATACCATTAAAAAAATTGAAATATAATTCACATACCATAAAATTCACAATTTTAAAGTGTACAATTCAGTGGAGTTTTTTTTAAACCATATTTATGAAGATGTGCAACCATCACCACTACGAATTAAGGAGAAAATTGCTCCATAAAATAAGTTCCCTTGGTTTCGTGCATTACGTGCCCAGTCTGCAGTAGTGTGTTCATTTGCCTTTGGGCAGATGATTCAGCCTGGGCCAAGAATTTGGGACTTTTTAGAAGTTTTAGAGTGGCACTCCATTGACTCTTTTATGAGATGAACTACTAATTTAATTCTGTCCGGAAGATAGGGGCAACCATATTTTGACCAGGTTGTGATCATGCTTTTTTACTATGCTATAAAGTACTCTGCCCATGGGCACATTGATGTAATAGGAAGAGCACTGTCTTTAGAATACAGAAGAAACCTGACCTGGCCTTAGTTAGCCTTGTTAACTTGGGCAAGTTACTTCATCTTGCTGAGACTAAGTTTATAGGAGATACTGTAAAATGGTTCATTGAGGACAACATGGTTGGTTAGGCTTGCCGCATGCTCTAGATTCAGATCTCCTGACTTCGGTTTTCAGTTTTCTTTTATAGAACTATGTTTTTGTCTTAAATATTTTTATCCAAATGGTCTTATAAGAAACAATTTATTAATCCACAATATTCTGTTGGTAGTTTTCAGAGAGGGGAATAAATGAAGTCAATATTCTTTATGTGACCAAGGAAAAAGAATGTTTGTTACTGGAATATTGCCCAAATATATGATTATCTCTTTAGAAGTCTTGTAGTTAACAGTAATATTGTTAGCCAGTAAAGTTACTAAGAGAAATCAGGAGCCTTAGCCTTTCCTAGTAAGGTTAAATGGTATGGCTCAGCTCTTGGGGCCTCTACTACCGGTGACTCATTTGAGAACTTATTCCCACCTAGTGACAGTTGGCCCTATAGCTCGAAAAACTGCTAGCAGTTGGCTTTGTAGAAGAAAGAACAGTCTCATATTTTCTACCATTCATGTGACCACAATGCAGAACCATAATTCAAAGAAAGTTTTATTTTGGCTAGGGGTAATCTTCATTCTGAAAGAATTGACAAACTAATATAAAGGACTTTTGTCCTGAAACTTGTTAGGCTTATGTTTTCTACATTGCAAACATATATACAGTTTCTTTGGATGAAGCAGTTCCTTTATGAAATGTTTCAGCTTTGTTATTTCTCAGTGCAGCATTTTAAATCAGTTCTTTGTGTGCAGGGGATGATGGCAACGCATGGAACTGTTGTCTGAGGTTGCTAGTTTGAAGAACTAACTAGAGACTGGTACAGTGTTACTAATTTTGAATGACTAAAGCATTGGGTTTTGGGGTTTTGTTTTGTTTTGTTTTCCCTCTCCCACCTCAGTAAACTTTTGCTACTTGGATATAAAGAATTTTACTTCTAAAGATTCTTTTAGACCTCTGCAACTTGTGGTCATTCATATAAAATTATTATTTGCAGCTGTCACTTTTTCTTCCTTACTGTTGCATTAAATTAGAAAGGAACATGATGTGAGAACTATTAAATATTTGTTAGGTTGAAGAAATAATTCTGTCTTATTTTGGGTTTATTATATTTGTAGTCTTTCTTTTAAAATACATTTAAATTATACAAATAATTTATATTTATGGTAGAAAAGGCAGTTATGTGATCCTGTCATCCAGAGATAATTGCTGTTAATCTTCTGTGCCAAGTCTCTTGGTTATCATTCTTAAAGAGGTAAAATATCACCTTACCAGGTAGAAGAGCTTATGTCTTTCAGTTTTGAAGCTGAATAAAATGATAGTCTTTTGTCTTTTGAAGAATATCCTGACATGTTGAAATATTTTAAACTAAATTACAGTGGAGAGCCTCTTTTATAAAAATGAGGAGTTGGTGGGTAGATATTGGGAAAATAACAGCTAAAAAAGAAAAACAAGGAAACAATTGTATTCGCAGAACAGACTAGGTCTTTGTCAGCAATTTCCACGTTGATGAATTAGTCTTATCTTTCTGAATATCCTGCTTATACTTCCTTAGTTTTTTGCTCTAGGAAGTAAAGGTAGTAGATTCTCATTATGGGCCTAAAGTTAGGAGGCTTGTTGTATGATTTTTATTTGTTTTGAGTTTCCATGGAATGTTTATCATGGGAATCACTTTTGGAGAGACTGATCTAATCACATTAGGAAATTTGAAATACTTTGTTTTCTAGTTTCTCTGGAGAAATAAGTATATAACTCCGCTAACTGGATGACAAAGCTTGGGTCATTGACAGAATTTTGTGGTTGTAATTTGCTCTTACTGCTAAAGCAGTTCGTTTTTGAGTTCTCTTATCCTTAACTCGCTCTTCTAGAATTCCTAGAGGACCTGTGCAACAGCCTCTCGAGGATCGAATCTTCACTCCTGCTGTCTCGGCAGTGTACAGCACGGTGAGTACCTCAGGGTTGTTTGTCAGATTGTGTGTGTTATTTTGCACATGAACCTTTGATATTATAGGCAGTGTTTGTTAGATTGGTACATAATAGGCTTTTGACAGAAAAGTTCTATCAAGTCTCGAATAGAATTAGATGTATATAATATAATAAGGTGAATAGGTCTTTTCCCCTGTCATCTTAGTTTAAGAAGTAGACATGAAAGAAACATTCTGTTAAGGTAGATTGACTTGTACACCTGTGTTCTTTTTCCTCCCTTTTCCTCCTTCCATAAATATTGTGATTCTAATAGGACACTGAGTTTTAATTTTCTTTTGGATATTTTTTCTTAAATTTTAATAAATTTTACACTTTTAACTTAAATTTTTTATTTTACATTTTTCCTTCTTTGATTACATATAAAAATGCTGAAAGTTTAGAAAAGAGAACAGTGGTTAATGGGAGTAAATTTAAATATTTATGTTAAATGATAGATTCAAATTCATAAATGAAGGGAAATTTAAAAGTTAGAAGATGAAGATAATAAAATTAGAAGCAGATTACAGGGGTATTACAGTGAGCCTAAGGGAATTTAGTGGAGAATCGAGGAGTTGGACATGTCTTTTTTTTGGGCTGTGCCATGTAGCTTGCGAGATCTTAGTCCCCCACTCAGGGACTGAACCCAGGCCCTTCTCAGTGAAAGCACAGAGTCCGAACCACTGGACTGCCAGGGAATTCCTGGACATATCTTTATTTTTTAAATTAAAAAAATTTTTTTTCTAAGGGAGGGGGGATCTCTCCCCTTATTTTCTCTTTCTTTTTTTAAAAATTTATATATTTTATTTATTTTTGGCTGCGTTGGGTCTTTGTTGCTGTGCATGGGCTTTCTCTAGTTGTGGTGAGCGAGGGCTACTCTTCATTGTGGTGTGTGGGCTTCTCATTGTGGTGGCTTCTCTTGTAGTGGAGCACGGGCTCTAGGCGCGCAGGCTTCAGTAGTTATGGCACACGGGCTCAGTAGTTGTGGCGCATGGGCTTAGTTACTCCACAGCATGTGGGGTCTTAGTTGCAGCAGGTGGACTCCTTAGTTGTGGCTCGCGGGCTCCTTAGTTGCGGCTCCAGGGCTCCTTAGTTGTGGCATGAGAACTCTAAGTTGCAGCATGCATGTGGGATCTAGTTCCCTGGCCAGGGATTGAACCTGTGCCCCCTGCATTGGGCGCTCAGAGTTTTATCCACTGAGCCACCAGGGAAGTCCCTGGACATGTCTTTTTTAAAAAAAATTATTTATTTTTATTTACTTATTATTTTTGACTGTGTTGGGTCTCCGTTGCTGCATGCAGGCTTTCCCTAGTTGCAGTGAGCAGGGGCTACTCTTGGTTGTGGTGCGCGGGCCTCTCATTACGGTGGCCTCTCGTGTTGCGAGGCATGGGCTCTAGAGCACGCGGGCTTCAGTAGATGCAGCGTGTGGGCTCAGTAGTTGTGGCTCGTGGGCTCTAGAGTGTACGCTCAGTAGTTGTGGCGCACAGGCATAGTTGCTCCGCGGCACGTGGCATCTTCCCGGACCAGGGCTCAAACCCGTGTCCCCTGCATTGGCAGGCGGATTCTCAATCACTGCGCCACCAAGCAAGCCCTGGACATATCTTTTAATGTTTCATTTCATCATACCATTCACCCTTGGAAATAGGGTGCTATAAAGAAACTCACAGTATAGTGAGAGAGATGAGTAAATAAATAATTGTAATACAAGCGATATGATAAAGCAATAATTCTTATCCTTTTGGGTTATAAATTACTTGTAGAATCTGAAAATAGTTGCAGTGCTTTCTCCTCAAAAAAGAGCATATACCAAGTGTTTACATATAATTTCAGACCTTCACAGATGTCCATCAGGGCATTCATAAGGCTCTGGTTGAGAAGCTTTGATTAGAGATACGAACATGCTATTATATGGGAAAGGGAGAAGTTGCTTCACTGAGGAAGTAACACTAATCTGGAAGGTATAAGACTTCTAAGCAGGGCTCCCCTGATGGCACAGTGGTTGAGAGTCCGCCTACCGATGCAGGGGACACGGGTTCGTGCCCCGGTCCGGGAAGATCCCACACGCCACGGAGCGGCTGGGCCCGTGAGCCATGGCCGCTGAGCCTGCACGTCTGGAGCCTGCGTGTCTGGAGCCTATGCTCCGCAACGGGAGGGGCCACAACAACACGCCACGGAGCGGCTGGGCCCGTGAGCCATGGCCGCTGAGCCTGCACGTCTGGAGCCTGCGTGTCTGGAGCCTATGCTCCGCAACGGGAGGGGCCACAACAGTGAGAGGCCCGCGTACCAACTTCTAAGCAGAAAAGGGAAGAAAAGGTCTTCTAGGAAGTGAAAAATTAGAGGCATGGTTAATGGAATCGGAATCGTCAGTACTCAGAAGTGTGGCATGTGTGCTCGGTTTTGTAGCCAAAGTAGAGATGAGATGAGTGAGTTTTGCAGCTTTTAAGGTTGTCCTAAAGAGATAGAAGTTTATCATGCAGGTAATGGGTAAGGTAATTATTTTTCTTGGTTTGCTTAAAACAAGTCTCAGTTTATACCTACTGTAGATCAACTGAACACCTGTTAATTACTTTTTGAACCCTCTGTAACTCTTAAAATGGTCCCAGTTTGGATGATAAACTATCTGCTCACTGTACTAATTGGGAACCTTCAATTTACATTAAAAAAATAACCTTTAATTTTTTTCTGGCACAGACTTCCTCCAAGCCAGAGTTGTTTGTTTGTTTAAAGTACTGAGGTTGGGGACTTCCCTGGCAGTCCAGTGGATAAGACTCTGTGCTTCCACTGCAGGGACACGGGTTCGATCCCTGGTTAGGGAACTAAGATCCTGCATGCTGCGTGGCATGGCCAAAAAAAAAAAGTACTGAGCTTAAAGGCTGTAGAATTTTATCAGGCATAACACTTAACATGTAATTTTTGCTAATTATGAAAGTATACCTTCAACATTAAATTATTTTCAAAATTAGGATAGGAAAAAGAAGAAGATGAAAATTTCTAGTAATCTTGACTGATTTCTAGAGGCATCTACTATAACCGTTTTTTGGTATAGTTCCTTTGTCTCTTTTTCTGTGTTGTAGGCTCTGTATAAGATATTTTATTCTCATTTTTCACTGTACGTTGTAATGTTAGCTTTTCCTATGCTACTTGAAACATGTCTGAAATAATAAATTGTTGTATGCTGTTTTGTTATAAGAATTTAGCATTCACTTAACATTTGACAGTTTATTTCTTAAGTTTTTTTTTTTTTTTTTTTGCGGTACGCGGGCCTCTCACTGTTGTGGCCTCTCCCGTTGTGGAGCACAGGCTCTGGACGCGCAGGCTCAGCAGCCATGGCTCACGAGCCCAGCTGCCCTGCGGCATGTGGGATCCTCCCGGACCAGGGCACGAACCCGTGTCCCCTGCATCGGCAGGCGGACTCTCAACCACTGCGCCACCAGGGAAGCCGTATTTCTTAAGCTTTTAATGTGTGTCAGACACTGTTCTAGATGTTGGGAATATAGTAGTGAGCAAACTAAACCTGCAGTCCTCATGGAGCTTACTTTTTTGTGAGATAGAAAGATAGTTAAATAAAAACAAAATATGTGTGCAATATGCTATTAGGTGGTAATAAATGCCTTGATGAAAACGAGGCGAGATAAAGGGATAAGGAATGACTGGACATCCTACTTTAGCTAGGGCTCCCAGGGAAGTTTTATCTGAAAAAATGGCATTTAAGTAGAAACTTAAGAAGTAAGGGAGTGAGATTGTTGATTTTAGGG